ATATACAGGTAACTAGCCGGCTGATGGAGCTGGAGCAATTGGCGAGTGGTCAACTGGTTTGATTAGGTTTGGATCTAAATGCCTTGGCCTACGTGACCAAGGCGGCATCTGGTCCAAGTTGCGTCGAGTCAACTCAAGTCAAGGCTGTGTGCGAGACGCGCGTCGCATCTACGTCTTCACTGTACAGTCAGCACAAGAATCCAAAACTATCTCAGAACGGAAGGAGTCGCTAGGTAATTGCGTCAGCAATGACGCTTGCATTGGCCTACGTGCCAATTGCCACGACTACCTCGTCGACCTGGTCTAGAGCCTTGAAAAGGTTCACATTGAAGCGCGCCTTAAGGAATTCCTGCTGCACCGCCAGCACCACCAAGCCGCGCAGCCACTTATTGCACCACCTGGGCGGTGCAGCAGAGCTCAGTTATTCATCAACCGCACGCATGTCTCATTAACTTTTATGAGCCATTTATCAGCCAGGCCCACTTGCCATTATGCGTAAAGCGAAAAAAGGGTCAACTATTTGTGACTCTACCAATATTGTCTCAACAATATCGCGGCTCAAGTCTCTCTCGCGCGTCTTAGTTAGTCGCAATTGACTGAACTTTACGTGTCACAGAGTTCATAATTAGTCACAAATCAGCAAACACAGCTAAGACCAAATCAGTTTGCAATTGACATACGATACATGATGTATGATATATGATAAGCTGCTACATAAAATGTATGATTGAAGATATGTTGTAAGGTAAATATATTTTATTATAAAAGATAGTGAAACGATTAATTTTAAGAATTTAGTTAGACAAAATATCAAATAAAATAGGTTTCATATAATATGTAATGTATAATTGATATTATATATATGAAATCTATTATTGATAACAAGTATATAAATAAAGTTAGTTTATTAAAGATAGTTCATTCTTAAAAATATCATGATATTCACTATATATAGGATATAAAATCAGTATATGATACAATAACCATAATATACGTTATACTATGAGAAATAAATGGAATAGTTATACATATAAATATGAAAAATTGCAATATATATTACTTTTCCTTTTTGTAGTATATTTAATGGAATATGTGTAATATGCGAATTAATATGAAAAAAAAAATACAATAATATATATATATATATATCCGTTCGTCTCCTAATTAAATTGAAATTTAAATATTTAACGAAATTGTGCTTTTACTCATCTTGTATGCAAAGTCAATTTTATAATGGACGAGGCGAATGATTATCTCACATAGTTAACCTAGGTCAAAGCGGCGTAAACAATATTCATTTTTTGCATTTAATACTTTTAGTTCACTTTAGGAAATACAAGTCATAAAAATAAGTTTAATTTTCTTTTTAAACAGCGTTCTATGCTTTACGGATTATTAAATATTTCTAATATTTCTAAACTGTAACGAATTGAGAGTAATTGAGAGCAATAACGGATGAAGCTAAAACTCACCTTTCGTTCCACATTATTATCTAATAATAACAGGTTATAACATTTAAACTTTCCAGCATCAAGAAAGGTCTCTAAAACACAATAGAAATTATTTTTTAATTAATATTTAAGTACTATAACCAAGCATCTATAAATTATTTAAGCAATATATCTAAAATTTAAACATAGTATAAACTATTTAGTTCCAACGCCTCGCAAAAAAATTCTCAATTATTCAACATTATCAACACAATTTTTGCTCATTAATGTAATTATAGTCACTTATAGATTTTTCTCTAAAATATTAGATATTGATATTAGTCATATAGTATATATAAATATATAGCGTTTGCATAAAATGGTTTATTCAAATATTTTTTCGTCTTTTTTATAGCTTAACTAAGTCGCAATTTCTGTATATGGTCAAACAGGCAGCATTCTATCTAGAAGAAACAAAAGCGGTTGTCAAGCCGAAATTCGTCGAGCTCTTTGTGGATTTTTAGAAAGAACTAAAAGATGCCCAAAAATTAATGCATAACATTGATTTATGAATTTTACATGAATTATTTACATAAATAGTTGTTCTATGTAAAGTTCGTAAATAAAATGAGACTTGTAAATCCTATATAATAAAAGGTTGGACTAAAGCTTAGTAAATATGCCTTATAGAATAAAAGTGGGATACATCCAGCTTGGTCTTATCTACTCAACTAGATTCTTTCTTACTACATTATACCTAAAATATCATCACACGTGTGTTGCTCGTTCCCTGTTCTTATTTTAGGCTCGAAACTAATTTGCATAGTATTTTTTTTAGCTAATTTCATTAGCATCGAACTTTTGTCAGTTGGTCAACAACTTCGCAGTATCGAAGATTTCTGCTTAACAAATACGATGAGCCCAAGGCCCTTTCACAATTGAGCGTGGGCAAAAATGTTGATTGCTTCGTTAGGCTTAGTTAGCAACAAAATATTAAAGCTTCCTCTTTCCCCGTTTTTCACATTTAATTGTGCTAAAGCGAAAAGCTGTACGACAATTGCCTATCAAAGGTTCCACAATTATTTACCCCAACCAGTAGGTTCCCGGTTCCCACACACCAAACAATAGACCCATAATATTATAGCCTGACCATTAAACTGTGGAAACTGTCATCAAAGCACTATAATGAACTTTTTGGGATGTATGCTATTTCTTTAGAGTGAATGCATTTGTAGTGCTTTGAATGAAATCAGAGCTCCAACAGCTCTGCTTTAGGGAATCGGAAAGAGATATGGAACTATTCACGCGTCCGATATAATTCAATGTATATAACTCTATGTATTGGTGGATTTTTGATATAATCAATACGTTTCAATTTATAGCCAAATGGATCATATATTGAAAATTAAAAGAAGGAATAAATTTGACATATAAAACTACGTTTTACTCATCTAAATTTCTATTCTTCAAGCTCAGAAAATAAATACAACTCTAGTCTATAATATATACATATCAATTTTTGTTAACTTAAGAATCGATAGATTATCATATTTTATTATATAT